TTATTGTTTATTTGTTTGGTTAGTATGTTCCCCAGAGTTTGTTTCCATTTCCTGAATTAATGGCTCCCGTCGGGGTATGTGTTCTGTGGTCTGTGTCTCCTCCATGTCTCTTTCAGGTGTCTGCTGTCCCTGACTGCCTTTTCCTGTTTGAGAACAAATTCTCAGAGAGGCGACCTGGCCATTGGGGATGGGGTTGGCCTGAAGGCTGTCCCCGAGGGGACAGAGTGGAACAGGCTGGTAGGCCAGAAAGCAGAGGTGATCCTTTGGAGCCGGTCTCAGCTTTAGATGCCTCTTGCTCTGTAGGCATCTGACTGAGGGGGAGGAGAGAGGGCCAGGGATCTGCTGTCTCATTTCCCACCTTCGCCTCTCTCCCACCACCAGCCCAAGATCCTCAAAGCACTGCAGCGACATTTCTGGAGCCAACCTCACTAGGGTGCTCAGGTTCACCCCTGTGGTCACCTCAACCTCAGCCTCTCTGGGATGGGGTGACTGGATGGTCACTCCAGTTCATCCTTATCTCTGTCTGCCTTCCAGAGGTGGGTTGAGACCTCTCATCATGGAGGCTCAGACTCCTAAGTCTGGGAGAAGACCCTGAGAGATGGGCTGACAGCGCTGGTCGACCTCAGGCTTCCTGGGACGGGGGTGCGATGGGTGTGAAGATAGCTGTGTGGTGTCTTCATCAAGTAATTTCCAGCACAGTGGTGCAGACATATTTATATGCACGAGAAGATGAGGCCTATATAGAAAGTGTCAAATTGTCAAAAAACAGGAAATGTTTATGAGATTGAAAATTGTTGATACCGCAACTGCAAAGCCTTTGAGGTTCTGAGCTGGAAGAGGTGCAGAAATAGCTGGGCCAGTAGCTCAGCCGGTTGGAGCAGCAGCTCGACCACCAGAGGGTTTTGGTGGTGAGTGATGGACGTTTCTCTCTCACATTGAGGTCTCTCTCTCTCTCTCCCCCTTCCTCTCTCTCTAAAACCAATAAATACATCCTGGGGTGAGGCATAAGTAAAATAGGTGCAAAAGAAAGACCCCATCTGTGGACAGGAACAGACACAAATTCACATTGGAAAAGGGCAGCGAACACGAGCCTGTGTGACAGCTTGCTGCCTTCCTTACAGTCAGGCCACCACAGCCGGGTACAGCCAGTGGTGCCAGGACACCTGCCCCTTCCCAGCCCTCTCGTATTTTAATTTACATAAAACTCAGTACTTTCTTCCGTAGATTTCATGGTCTATTTTGTAGACATATGTTTAACAAGTTTTCATATTTCCCATTACTGTGCATATATGTATACATGTTGTGCTGTGTATTCACTTTATTTTATGTTTTAATTTATTTCAATTTTTATCTTTTGATCCCCTTCAGCCTTTTCTTTCTACCCACACTCAGGACCAGCAGTCCATTCCTTGAACTTATGAGGCTGTCTTTTTTGTGTGTTTGTTTGTTTTAGATTCTACATATCAGAGATCACACAAAGTTTCTGTTTCTCTGTCCTGCCGTTTTCTCAGAAGTTGCCCTTGAGGTCCATCCTTGTTGTTGCAAATGGCAAGATTTTTTTTTTTTTTTTGATGGCTGAACACGGTTCCGCATATATCAGAGTTTCTTTACCCATTCCTCCTGCATGGACACGAAGGTGGTTTCCACGTCTTGGCCATTATAAATAAGGCCGCAATGAACATGGAAGTGCAGGTATCTTTCCAAGTTCGTGTTTTCATTTTCTGCAGCTAAGGATCCAGTGGTGGGATCACTGGATCATATGGTACTTCTTCCTTTAATTGTTTTAAATCCTCAGCTGAGAACATATTTTCATTGCTTTCAGACAGAAAGGGAAGGAGAGGGGAAGGGACAGATAGAAACACTGACGTGAGAGAGAACCACGAAGCAAGTGTCCGGTCTCCTGGGGACAAGGGGACGCCCGGTCTCGCACCTGGAAGCCCACAAGGCTGAAGGGACGGAGCAGAGCGGCTCGGTCACCTCGGTTCTTGGGGAAGCAGATGAGGACATGGCCGACCTGCGGCCCGCTCCTCAGCAGACTCGGGAAGGACTGCAAAACCATCCTTGCAGCCCTGCGGCAGAGCACCGCCTGGGACCTCGGTGCAGAGGCAGCTGCGACTGGGCACCGCTCTCCAGTTCACGTGTTTGGCGTCTGGCGCGTGGTCTGGACGTTGCGAGTTTCCATCTTGTTATTAGACGTTGGTTCCTCTGTTACATTCAGGCTGTTATCGGAGTAAAGTTAATTGGCCGAAAGTTTGTGGTCCCTCTGACTCTTCCCTCACCCGCCTGGGATCTTCGGGGCTGGGTGAGGGACACCAGGAGCACCACTGAGGCCCCGGGCCAGGGCTTTACCGCGGTTGAGAGAGGCCCAGAGACTGGCACTGCTGCGTCTGGAGAGGCGCGTGCGGCTGGCGTGGGGCGGGGACACCGGGCTGGTTTCCCGCCTTTTCTCTGGCGAAGCAGTGGCTGCTGAGGAGCGGCTGCAGGGAGGATTCCCCATCTGGCTGCTGGGGGAGCGAAACCAGGGAAACCTCTGCTGGCCCAACCGGACTGCCGCTGCTTCTAGCGGTTCGCAAACTCAGATCGAATTTTTTTGGAAATGAGTCCTGTGAGTTCTTTGCATAGTTGGGATATTAGCCTCTGATCAGCTCTGTGATTTTGTAAGTGTCTTCTCCCATCAGATGGTCGTCTTCTCATTTTATTGATGGTTTCTTTTGCTCTGCAGAAGCTTTGTAGTTAGATGCGGTCCCACTTGTTTATTTGCTTTTGCTTTTGGTGTCAGATTCAAAAAATCGTCACCAAACCTGGGCCTAGGAGCTTATAGCCCAAGTTTTCTTCTAAGGGTTTCAGACTCAGGTCTCATGTTCTTCAAGTCTTACTCCATTTCCACTCAATTTTTGTTTGTGGTATAAGAGTCTGTTGTTTTCCCATGGTGTGTTCCTGGCTTTTTTGTTGTTAATGAATTAAACATATGTGAGTGGGTTTATTTCTGGGATCTTTTCTCCCAATGATCTGTGTATCTGTTTCTATGCCAATGCCACACTGCTTTAGTTATCATAGTTTTGTAATACAGCTTGAAATCAGGGGTCATGATCCCTCCAGCTCTGTTCTTTCTCCAGATTGCTTTGGCTATGTGGGGGCATTTGTGGTTCCATACCAGGGTTAGGATTTTTTGTTCTATTTCTGTGAAAAACACTTTCTGTGTCTATAGTTTTGCCTTTCCTAGAATTTTAAAGTATTGTAATCTAGAAGACATGGTCACTCATAGTTGATGCCTTTCACTTAGCATTTCTTTTAAGGTTCACCCATGCTGTGGCATGTGTAGTTTTTGTTCTTTGTCATTGCTGACTAGATTCCACACTGTGGGTATCAGATTCCTAGGACTGCTGTAACAGTAAACCATGAGCTGGGTGACTTAAATTGATAGAACCCTATTGTCTGACCGTTCTGGAGGCACCAAGTCCTGAACCGAGGTGTCCCCAGGCCCACACTCTCACTGTGGCGCTGGGAGACAATCTGTTCTCAGCTTCTTTATTTGTTGTGGCTCCTGGTGTTGCTGGGAACCCTCGGGGCTCACTGACTCCACACCCATCACTCAGGTCTCTGCCTCCGTTGTCACGTGGCATTCTCCTCTTCTCGTGGGACACCGGTCATATCAGATAAGGGACCAGCCAGCTCCAGTACGACCTCATCTTAACTACTTACTATTCCAAAGGGCCTATTTTCAAATGAGGGCACATCTGACACTCCAGTACATTCAGTAAAAGGGGGAGAGAACACACGCTGAAGGTTCAGGTGTTAAAGCTTCAACATACCTTTTTGGGGGAAGAGTTTAACCCACAACAGTTTGAATATGCCAGAATTTGTTTATTTATTCACCAGTGAGGAATGTTTTGGTGTTTCTGGTGTGGGCCATTATAAATATTTTAATAAGGAGGCATTCACACACACGTCTGTGTTTGTTATTTCTCTTGAGAAAATCCCTAGTGGTGGGAGAGTTGGTTTGTCTGCCTCACTGGAAGAGACCCTGTTGATTCCTCCAAACGCATTTCCCTGCCTGGTCACTGTCTCGGACACGCGCCCCGCAGCACTCGGCACAGGCAGTGTCTGCACCTTCAGTCTGGCTGACAGGCCTCCAGTGGGAGCTTGTTAGGGATTCACAGTGCACATCCCCGAAGTCTGGTCTCATTGAGCATTTACTTATGTGCTTGTTGGTCATTTGTGATTCTTCTTTTCATTAACGTCTTTTGCCCGTTTTATTATTGGGTTGTATTTGTTTTAATATTATTGTCATTATGTTATTATTTTGTATGAATTTTCTCTATTTTCTAGATACATGTGTATGTCTGATATATTTGGATTTGGTGTTGCTTGGCCTCGCCTTCTAGTTGTGCTTTGGTAGTGTTGAATGAAGTATTGCGAAGTAGGGGCCTTGGGGACAGCTGCCATTGTCCTCCAGATTGCCATCCTCATCTGGGTCCTTGGCTTTCAACCTGCTGCATACGTTGGACATGCAGAGAATGGGAGATGTGCTGGTGTCTCCTTGTGTTTCCAAGGAGACATTGTGTTACAAAGTCTGGTGACCCTGGAGACTCAAAGCATGGGAAAAGGGGCCCATAGTAATACCGCTCCTTCACACCAGAGCCCTGAGGCCAACAGTCCCAGGACGGGTCCCTCCACGTGGGATCCTTGGAGGACCCTGTTTGTCGTCTCAGGTTTATCACTACAACCAACCGTCATCTGAGGAGAAGTGAGGGTGTGGGGCCAGGGCTCAGGATTCACACCCCTGGGAGGGTCTGGGCCCTTGTCCTCATGGGGCAGGGACCAGACATTGTCATGTGATGTCACTCTCTGGGAGGCATGGGACTTAGTGATCCGACACCCCCTGTCTTCCATCTGTAAAGACACCTGGGCTCAGAGGGGAGTGGCTGTGCCCAAAGCCTCAGATCCTGAGAGTGGCTGGTCAGAGCCACTCACCCCTCCTGACTGCAGTTCACGGGTTAATGGCAGACACCTGCGCTGATGTGCTCATAGGACAGGTGGCTCTGAAGCCCAGGGAACAAAGCATTGTCACTGGGCTAAGGGAAGGGGACACATTGTCAGACACTTTGGACATCCTGTGCTGTCAGCTGAGGCTGGTGTCTCCTGTGTGTTTCAATGCATGAAAGCTCATGTTGTCTTATTTTGTAAGGGATAGTGCCCTCCTCTATGTTTTAGATAAAACTCTTTATTCTTTTTATAAAATTAAATTTATTGGGGTGGTATTGGTTAATAACATTGCACACATTTCCGGTGTAAGATTCCCTGACACATCACCTGTGTATTACACTGTGTGCCCACCACCCCCAGTCAGCTCTCCTTCTGTCACCACACATTTGACCCTTTTACCCTTTACACTCCCCCCCTACCCCCTGGTGAGCACCCCGCTGTGGTCCGTGTCTTCGGGATTTTGTCCGACTCCTCCTTCCAGCCGGTGGGCCTGGAGCTGCTGTCACGCAGAGTAGGTCTCAGGACCTGCTGAACCCACAGCAGGCTGGCTGGTGGCCTGTCCACTGGAGGGTTCAGGCCCCTCACTTCCTCTGTCTCTCTCAAAACAAAACTGTTTTTGGTTTTGTTTTCATGTTGTATAAACTGAGGACAACCACAAACTTGGTTGTCAGGGGCCTGAGATCAGAAAGCGAAACAGCAAAGAGGATGTGGTCCAGCGCCTCTGGGTGGGAGACTTGCCAGAGCACAGGGTCAGGCAGAGTTCATGGCCTTTCCGAGAAAGCCAAAAGTTCCTGGTGCCCGAGTCCTGGTGTGCTCTTGTGCCATGCATGTGGGTGCCGCTGGGAGGGCTGCCCTGCAGTTACCGCACACGCACACAGAGAGGGGTTCCCTGGTTGTGCCGAGGATGGAACATGAGGAGGCAGGAGAGATGGGGAGGAAAGGAGGAAGGTGGTGTACAAGATTCTGAAGGCAGCTGAAACACCATCCTACACACTGTGTTGTTGAAAGCCACAGAAACGTCTGGTCCCAGAGCCCTAGGAGTCCAGCATCTAAAGGGGAGCCTAGCTCCGTTTGCTCTGAAGGCTCTGCAGAGGGTCCTTCCTGCCTGGCTCTCAGCCTCCCGTGGCAGCTGGCAGTCCTGGGATGTCCTTGGCTGGAGGCTGCCTCCATGGGACCTCTTGTTTTCTGCCTCTGACAAGGAGAAATCAGGTTGCATCCCCAACTGGGCTTGGACACCCCTCAGCTGAACACTCCAGTCCATCACTTACAAGCCCTTCCTTCCACCCAGCAGCAGCCGTGACTCCTTGACTCTCCCCCACTATGGATCACCTCTCCCTTTCTTCAGGGGTCCAATGACAGGGTCCTCACTCTGATCTGAGATCTCACCTTTAACATTCAAATTCCCAGCTTAGTCCCCCCAAGGCCACTTCCACCTTTGCTCCCATGTGCCCTGGAGTTCCCCCAGTGCCTGTTCATCCCCAAGTCCACAGACACTGCCACAGGGTAGGTATTGTTTACAGCAGCACCCACTTCCTGGAACCAATGCCACCCAATGAAGGAAAAGCTCCATGTTCTACATTTTGTTATTTTCTCCATCCCCTTTATTGACTTTATTGTGTGTGGCACGGGGAACCACAATGACACAGTGATCAGGTACACAATTCTACAACATGTGATCTGTACTCTGTATTGTGTGATCACCACCCCGAGTCAGGTCTCCATCCATCACCCTTTATCCCCCCTACACCTGCCTCCACGTGCCCCTCCCCCCTCCCCTGGGGATCACCACACTGTTGTCTGTGCCCATGAGTTTTTGCTTATTTTTTATTTTTGGTTCAATCCATCCACCCCAACATCCACTCAGCTCTACCACTACTTCAAATGGCTGTCAGTGTGCTCTGTCGTACATTCCTCATTTTACCATCAGGAATGGGAGCTAAGAGAGGTTAACTTCTGCTCCCTGTGGAAAGCCGTGTTCTGTCCTCAGAGGCTGTGTATATCACCTTATTGCTAAATGTGAATGTCACCTCATTTGCAGATGAGGATCATTCATGATGGGGCGAAAGGGAAATTGTCCTGGGCTCTCTGAGTGGGTCCCACATGGAATCACAAAGGCCCGGAGAGGAGGAGGCAGGACGATGTAAGGAGGAAGAAGCCATGTGGTGACGGCAGCCCAGACTGTAGTGGTACGGTCACAAGTCAAGGAACTCTGGCAGCTTCTAGAAGGGGGAGCGGTGAGAGGGATTCTCCCCTGGAGCCTCCAGAGAGACCAGCCCCGATGACACCTTCATTTTGTCCCTGTAAGACTGATTTGAGGCTCCTGCCCTCCAAAGCTGTAAGAGAATGTATTCACTTTGTCCTGGGCCACTAGGTTATCAGTACTTTGTTGTGGCAGCAGTATGGAACTGACACACCAAGGCTGACTGTTCATTCATGGAGTAGTCAGGACAATGTGAGAGGCCATTCCTTTCACCGTCTGTTGTTATTTCCATAATGCTGTAATAGGTTTGAGCTTTGAATTCATCTAGACCACAGCAGCGGAAAATGTCATGACCTCAAAGGTGGACCCTGATAAAATGTGAAGAAATGTTTTTTCATAACCCAACTTTTGAAAAATTCATATACACCTACTTGTGTGTGTATATGATGTAAATAATAAAAAGGGGAAAAGAATAAAGGCAACTGTACAAAATGAAGCTGTGATTTTCTACAAAATTCATGTCCTTGCTTCTGAGGGTGTGGAAGGAGCAGCATCTGGGAAGTAGGGACAGCAGCTTCAGGAGTCACAGGTGGGGATCAGCAGCAGGGGGACAGGTGGCTCACGGCAGAGCTGGAAGTGGACAGAAGCCCCTCGTGATGAGGAGCCTGGCCACATGAACAGTGAGGAGAGAGGTGAGATGACCCTCCTTCTGTCCCAGTCTCCTAGACGCTGTCTCCCCTGTGTCAGGGTTATGGTGGGATTGCCGTGTTGTAAGGACTCCTCTGCAACCAATGGCCTCAATGCTGTTTCCATCTAAGACCTGTATCCTATCACCGTGGCATCTGTGGATTCTCTCAACCTCTTCCCTCTTCTCTTTAGGGAACTGAACAGTGCACCTGAGTGTCATACCTGCAGAAGCAAGGAGTTCACCAGGAAAACATACAAGGCACTTTCTGGCAGGACAGGGTTCACTCAAGGACTGTGGAGAGTGACCTGAGACTGGGCCATGGCGGGGGGAGACAGTTTGAGCAGGAGATGAGGTCCTGGCTATGCTGCTGAGTCACACCCATGCAGCAGGGTCAGGGTCAGCCCCCTGGGCAGTGACCTGTGGGGCTGCTCAGGGCCCTGTGCTGAGAAGGGCCCCTCACGTGGGTCAGTGCTCTGTCAATGGCATCCTGAAATCTTCTGATGTTTAAAGAATGAGCTGTGTGTGAGTCAGACACTTCTGAATTTCAAAGCTGGTCCTGCTCTGTGTCACTGTTGGAAAGCAGGAAACTGATCCCCGGGATCTTTATGGTGACCTGAGTCATTAGCACCAATAATTGCTCCAATGCTCTGGACCAATGGCATGTCATGAACACCCTCATTTCCAAATCTTGCTGCTTCCCTCCTTGCACAGCCACCCTATTGTCCTCTACTTCCTGCCACATGTGGTCTTCTTAGTACCTACCCAAAAGCTTAAGAGTTGATGGATAAAATTTCAATCTGTTGAGCCAAAATAAACAATAAGAAGAAATGTTGTTATGGTGATACAGCAGATGACTGAAACATCGTGTCCACCGTGAGAGCTTTGACAGACCTCTTCTCACTGGAACCTGGTTCCAGAACCTTTGGCATCCATCTGCTGGGTAAATCTCACACAGGTGCTTCCGTCTGGGCCTGGGGTGGGGGAGGCAGAAAGGTTGGGAGGGAAATTGCGTCTGCTCCCTGGGAGCATCTGTACCTGTCAGGTCCTGTGCACTCACAAGGTGGCAAGGACCATATGAAAGCACCAGAGGGGCTGTGTGGTCACAGGGACTTTTCCCCCAAATCCCCTTTCTCTCTTCCCCATGTCTCCCAGTGGTGTAGACCTCTTAGGCTCTGCACCTGAGTCCTGTAATTTCTGAATGAGGAACTGAGGCCCTCCTGAAAGACTGGACTCAATGCCTACATCACACAATCAACACCAGCACCCAAGGGCACCTCAAGTCACGTGTCCAACTTCCTTTTCCAGAATCACCCGTACTTTGCCCACAGCACAGCAAAGATGACCAGATGCTGTACTGAGCTTTCTGGGCAAGACTTGGGTCATTTAATAAGGGTCTTTGGGATCCACTGCCAACATCCAACATCCTGAACATAGCTTTGGAAATTTTGGTGCAGGAGTGGACACATCGACCCAAGTTTGGAATTTGGCAAAACTGTAGCACCACCAAATTATGGGTCAGTGTTTCTGCCTCTTTAAATGCGAACAGGTCCTCCACTGGCTCCACCTAATCTCAGCTTCCTGGGTCAGAGCCTTTAAAAGTGTGAACTCTCTCCTCACAGTTAAAGCACAAGCAGCAGCTGAGAGAGCTTCATTGGGGAAAACCCAGGAACTCCTCAGCGGGTTGAAGGGAAGGTGAGCCTGACTGAGACCCAGGTGAGCCATAGGACTGGGAGGGCAGTGGGGCCAGGGCAGGTGCAGGGGGTGGTTCTAGTCTGAGGAGGCACCAGGTGCTGTGCCAGCCTCACAGTGGGACAAGTGTGCTGACACAGGGTAGTGGTGGGAGGTAGGAAGGGGAGGACAGTAGGGGCTGTGTATTGGCACAATGTCCTGCGTCTCATATTGACAGGACACGAGTGTGCTGAGGGGGGCGCTTCCTGCGTTTGCTGGTGCAGCAGACACTGATGCTGCTCCTGAGGCTTCCTCGTCCCTTGATGGGAAACTGGTGTCCCCAGGACAGGTGGTCAGGGCTGACGGCCATGTAGAGACCAAGCTGTCCAAGTGCCTTTTTTACTGCCAAGATCAGGATCCCAGGCCGTGTGGTGAAGCCCTCCAGGGGTAGCCCTCATCCCTGGCAGCAGAGGAATCTAGGACACAGGGTCCATCACTCGGCAGAGAGAAGCTGGGGCCCCATCGTGTAACATGGGCGGTGAGGAGAATCCTGGGGGCAGCACAGGGCTCTCATGTGGGAGCAGGGCAGAGAACCCCTACTACCCCCTCAGGCTGGCGTTCCTTCAGTTCTGGGTTCTGGGAGAGAGGGGATGCCTGTCCCTGCCCGCTCCCTGTCCAGCTTGGACAGTGAGATTTTAGAGCTGGGGCCAAGAGGGAGTCAGGGCTCACTCCCCACTATGGGCCCTGGTCAGGGGAAAGTGGGAGTCAGAGGGACTTTCAAATGGACCCATGCGCTGCCCATTACCCGTGAGCACTGTGACCTTGAGCAAGTGTCTCAGCATTTTTGAGCCACATCATGTCCTTATTTTAAAAGTGAGCATAACAGTCCCAGGCAGGTGGCTCAGTTGTTTGCAGTGTCTTCCTATACTCCAGAAGGTTATGGGTTTGATCCCGGTCAGGGCACATACGTAGGTTGTGGATTCAGTCCCCAAGTGGGCTGTGGGCTGGATGCAACAGATCAATGTTTCTCTCTCACATGGACATTTCTCTCTGTCCCCCCTTTTCTCTCTAAAATCAATGACCATATCCTCGGATGAAGATAAAAAAAGACAAAATAATAAAATGAGTTTCCTTGCCAGCTCTTTTGGGGAGTAAATGAGATAATGCAAAAATATTTATCTGGGTGCTTGCTATAGAGCACTCAGTAGTGGTGATCCTACACCCAGATCAAATTTTTAGTTGTGGAAGTTTTGACTGTTTCCTGATAAAGGGAAGAGTAAAGGGAACTTCGACCTGGACCAAGCTTCAACAGGCATCTTCGAATGCCAGTCTGGTTTTACCCGTAGACTCGCCAGTCCCTCCCCGACCCACAGTGTTTGGAAGCAGGCGTCAGACGTTGCTTCTGTTTACCAGTGAATATCTGGAACCACTGAAAAATGTTGCCATCCTCAGACTTCAAAAAGCAACTACAATTTTTTTTAAAAGAAAGTGCATTTTTTAAAAGATTTTATTTATTTTTTCGAGAGGGGAAGGGAGGGAGAGAAAGAGAGGGGAGGGAGGGAGAGAGAGGGAGAGAATCATCAATGTGTGGTTGCCTCTCACATGCCCTAGTGGGGACCTGGCCTACCACCTAGGCATGTGCCCTGACTGGGAATCAAACCAGCGACCCTTTGGTTCCCAGGCAGGTGCTCAATCCACTGAGCCACACCAGCAAGGGCAGCAATTAGAATTTTTTAAAAACTGTTACCACCTGCGTTCAGACTTTACTGATTTTCTCATAATTTTAAAAGTTCTTTGAAGTAGGATCCAAACAAGACCCATAAATCACAATTGTTCCATATCTCTTAAATGTAATGTAATATGTTGGTTTCTATCTTCCTGGTTGCTTTCTGGGAGATTTCTCTGGGTAACAAAGGAGGGATCTCCTGTCCAGTAGAGTCGGGCAGTGTGTGTTCTGTGGGTTCCATCAAAGGTGTCAGCTCACCTGCTCCTCCCGTTCCAGCGTCCGTGTGAGTTTCTGTCTAAGGAGAGGCCTGGTCAGGTTCAAGGTGGACTGATTTCGGTGGGAACACTTCACAGGTGCAGCAGTGAACTCCCGTCAGAAGGCCCATGACGTCTGGTTGTCAGTCTGTCTGTGACATTAACTGACACTAATGGTGGCCTTAGTCTCATGAAGGGTCACAAGTGATGACCCTCAAATGTTGTCATCCCTTCCTCTTGTATTGGGGGAATAATCCTGTGAAAAGGACGCTCCCCTCAAGCTCTCTCTCAGCCACAAGGAGCAGGTGTGTGAGAGACACAGATGAACACCTGACTCTTCCCCCTTTGTGTGTCTACATGCAGAGCAGTGAGATGCTTTCTAGCAGATGCCTGAGGGAGAGAGGGAACACATTTAAGAAGGCATTGCTATGACCCCTTGGATTTCAACGTATTTGATGCTTTTCCATTCACTGGAATTATTATTGATGCTCAAACTATCCCAGCCAGGTCCAACTGGATTCTGCTGCAGTGGCCCTCACTGCCTGTGACGAGATGCTAGTGAGTGGTGAGCACACCCGGGCTCTCTGGCTGACAAGGGCCTGTGGGCCCCACACACACGTGTCCTGCCCGGCCCTGGATTCGGTGCTTTCTCCTCAGAGCCTTGACCTGTGGTGGAAAATGGCCTCTGAAGGCCAGAGCTGGGCGCTGAGGTGGCCCATTGTCACCAGGCTCATTTGTCTCTGTGCCTTTCCAATGGGCTTCACACTACACACACACACACACGCACAACAAAAATGAGGATTTTTTAGAACAATTGGGGACCTTTTTTCATGTTTTACATTTTTGGTGATTTGGGTTTTCTTTTTGTATGTAAAACTTACTGGAGATGAACAAGGAAATGACTGCATTTCCAAGTCTCTTGGACCAGTTCCTTGCACAGTTTGTCCACCTCACAAAATACCATTAGATTTTTTTTTATTTCCTTTTGACATTAGTATTTTAAAGTATAATTTTTTGGTGTATAACTAGGTAAACTCCCTACCTGGTTTCAAGATCAAACCTATGGAATCTATGTGCACCCAGGACACCCGACTTCGAGCCCCTGTCCCTGTCCCCCCCCACCCTGTCTCTCCCATCCCCGCACAAGGAACTTTTGTGTCGGTTTAGTTTTCAGATTATCCTGCTGTTGCCTTTTCATATATGTGAATAGTGTACCTGTTATAGTTCATAGATGATGTTCACATCCCCCCTTACTGGAGAGATGGCAGGTGAACTCCACATTATTTCCTTTCCCTGGTGGTAGACACCCTGGCGGTCTCCCCGCTCTGGTGCAGGGAGACACTTCTCAGTCCTTTTCACAGCCGGCCAGTCCTTCCCGGTGTGGACACACCTTAGTTCATTCAACCCGTCGTCTACTGGTGACCATTTGATAGGTTTTTTGTTTCTTGGTGTTGTAAATCATGATGCAATAAATAGCTTTATGCATGATTTTTGCTGTAATTTTGGTCATCGTAGTTCAGGGATAAAAGCTGAAATGGGGGATTGGTAGCAGAAGGGAAGGTGCCCGTGGACTCTACAAGGTATTGCTGGTCTCTCCTCTGCGGGGTTGGACTGTGCTTCCCTCCTCCCCAGCCGTGCAGGGAGGACCTGCTGCCCCCATCCCCTACAACTGATTGTCAGCACAATCTGCAGTTCTGCCAGACCTGGAGGGGACAAACAGCATCTCACATCGGAAATAGAGGTGTGAGTCAAAATTATTTTATTTACTTATTTTGCTTTTTTGTGTTTGATTTATTTTTCTCTATTATGAGTGTATGTTAATATCTTGGGATATATTCAAGGCACATTTAAATTTCTTTTTCTCTGAATGTTTATTCCCATATTTTGCTCCATTTTCTATCAGATGTTGAACTTTAGTTTCTGTGCTTTTCGATGTTCCTTGTCTAATAGGGAACTTCACCCCCTTGATGTAAGTTGGAAAATGGTTTTCCCATAGTTTGACATTTTTGCTTTAATTTGTCTCTGGTGTTTCTTGTCTCACATTATCTGTGAGATTTATGTAATTAAATTTATTAGTCCTTTTTCTTACTCTGTGTCAAATCTTAGAAATATTTTCTCTGCCCCCAGGTTACAAAGAACCTGTCCATGTTGTTTCTCTTATGTCCATGGGTTCGCTTTTCCATGCAAACCTGGAACGTAACTGAACCTGAGTGGCGTGAGGCAGTGGAGGCAGTTCCCTCGCTCCTGTGTGGTCACCGTGAGCCCAGAGTCACTCTGTTGCCCACCTCTCTCCCCGTCGATGTGAGATGCAGCCTCGTTTAATCTATGGTAGCACTGTAATCAAATGGAATGTAAATGGATACAGTATGAATAATTTGGTCTATTTCTGAATTTTCTGCTTGTGTTTCCCTGTTCTCTCTGTTCGTGCACCACCCCATGAGGCTGTAATCACAGAAACTTTGTGTTTGACTCCTGGTAAAGTTGGTCCTCCCTCCTTACATTATTTCTTGGTAGTGCTGAATATTTTCTTTTTTCTTTGTGCAAATGAGCCTTAGACACTATTATTTTAACTTTAGACAAATATCTATGAATCGCATTGTTATGAAATGCTTTAAACATGAGTCAGTGTTGAATTGGGTCAAATGTCTTTTCTGCATCTGGGTAGTTTTCTTTTTCATCTATTAATGGTATGTGTTGTAATGATCAATTTTTTATATTGAACAATCCTAGTATTTCTAAAATAAATCCCACTTAGTTATGGTGTATACTTTTCTTTATTGTTTAATAATTTAGTAAGTATTTTTGTATTACTACTTCCAAATTGGACACATCTGCAGCTTTATCTGTTGGTGAAATCTTGCTTAGCCTTTTGGATCAATATTATACTTGATCCACAGAAAGGACTGAAACTTACCCTTCCTTTGTGTGTGGTCCGGGACAGCTCAGGGAGCACTGAGAGAGTAGAGCTGTGAGGTGTAGGTGCGCTCCCCTGGGAGGGGCCTGGCCCCGGTGCTCTTCTGTGGGGAAACTCTGTTGTTTCTTCCCCAGTAGTTGACCTGTATTATCTCTCTGTTGTCACTGGGATCAGTAAGAATAACTGACTAGTACAAAGTTTCAGGGTGGAAGGGAGGGCTGGGAATGATCCTCACTTACCTAAGCTGACCCCTTCCCCTCTCCTTCCCCTCCTCAGGGTCTTGTAGGAACCTGCACCCAGAGCCTCTTGAACCAGCATGGCCAGCCTTCAGGACAACACTCTTCGGATCGTTCTGGTGGGAAGAACTGGAAGTGGAAAAAGTGCAACAGCAAACAGCATCCTGGGGGAAAGTATATTTGATTCTAGAAGTAGTGCCAGTGTCTGTTACTAAGAGCTGTCAGAAAGCATCGAGGGCCTGGAAGGGGAGGAACCTTGTTGTGGTGGACACCCCAGGGCTCTTTGACACCAAGAAGACACTGATCTTCACCTGTGACGAAATCAGTAAGTGTGTCCTCCACTCCAGCCCTGGGCCTCACGCCATCATCCTGGTCTTACAGCTTGCTCGAGCCACAGAGGAAGAGTACAACACAATTAAATTGATCCAGGCTATCTTTGGGAAGCGCGCCATGAAGCACATGATGATCTTGTTCACTTGCAAAGATCTACTGGACAAAGATCAGGACGTGAGTAGCTCTGTAGGAGAGGCAGATGAACGCTTCAAAACCCTTATTGAGGAGTTTGGGAATCGCTACTGTGCCTTCAACAACAGAAGTGCAGACGAGGCTGAGAAGGAAGCTCAACTGCAGGAGCTGGTAGAGCTGATCGAGGCAATCGTGCAGGAGAATGGAGGGACTCACTTTTCGGATCCCATCTATGAGTACACAGCGGAAAAGGTAAAACGTCTGGAAGAGGCCTTGGAGAAAATTCATGCTGAGCGATCAGAAAAAGAAAAACTGATACAAGAGCTATATGCCCGGGGAAAAATAAAGGAGAAAGAAATGAATGAACAAATGATATCCCTAAAGGAAAAATGTGATAAACAAAGTAAAACTACAAAGGAAGAAGGTGAAAAAAGTATAATTGCAGGGATTTTTAATTGGATTAAGAGTTTGCTTGCATCCTTGTGGTCTGAGCTTTGGAAATAATGCAGTTTTTTCTTCTTAATTTAGTATGATTTGTCAATGTGCCAGAATATATATTCCAAACTTGGCTGTAGTGATTTCTTCTATCGCACCAGTTTTTCTTGACGTCTGAGCTGTTGCACCTTCTGCTGAGTTATGGGGACTGTTGCCCGCCTTGAAATTCCATGACCTCTGTGACTGCTTTCATGAGTAGTGGCGGGTCTGACTTCTGAAGTTAGACAGGGACTGTGCTGCCTTGCTCTCTGTAGTAGGCACCCTCGGAACATTGCCCACGTGCTGTGAGGAAGCCCACGTTGCCCATTGAGAGGGCCCCAGGAAGAGGACTGGAATCCTGGCCCCATCCCCTGTGTGCTCTTCCATCTGCCAGTGGGACCACCTGCCAGCCGTGCAGATGTGGGCACAGGGTAGTGGGCTCTCCAGCTGCCAGCAGAGCTGCCTCAGGGGAAGCTGCAGACAGCAAAGATGGGCCATCCCCACCACATCACGCCTAGTTTGTAGATTCATGAGAAAAAATAAATGCTGTTGTTTCAAACCACTAAGCTTTGGGCTGGTTTGTTGTGCAGCAACAGCTCCCCAGAGCATCCTCCCAGCTGGTTCCCCCACCCCCACAGTGCCAACGCAGGTACAAAGTGACTGAATGGGCAAAATCAGGCCAGAACACACTGTGTAGAGTTCAAAAACTGGATTTAGGAAAATCAAATGAAAAGCCTGTGTGTGCCACATGTCAGCCCCGTCTGGAGGTGCTCATTTTCTCCATCCACGTGTCTGAGCCCGTGGGCAGTGTAGAGCAGGCCTCTCCCGCAAGACAGTCCTGTGGTCCACAGAGGTCTGGAAGGTGCTAAAAATCCTCATATTGTTTTCCTCTCTTTTTCTCCTTAAGGGACCATCCTAACATGAAGTGTCCCTGACTGTAACTTTAAAATACACTCTGTGCCAGTTCTTTTCCTTTGTCTCTGCAGATCCACACTTTGCCCCCCTCACCCCAGCTCTGTGCCCCAGGAGGTACACCCAGATGGGTCACATTGTCACTGATCTCAGGATTGTGCCACTTGGCATGTTTTGTTCAAGGACTAGACACGATGGCACTCACAGGCGTGGCTCAGTTGGGGGGTTATTGTCTCACAAGTGTGACTCCTGATCAGGGCACAGGACCAGGTTGTGTGTTCCATCCCTGGTTGGGTTGTGTATGAGAGGCCACGGATCGAAGTGCTTCTCTCACACTGATGTTTCTCTCTCCCTCTTTCTCCCTCCATTCCTCTCTCTCTAAAAATAAATAAGTAAAATAATAAAAAAGCTGAGAAGTGGCTCTCACAGGGCAGATTTATTTATCTGCAGCCCATGAAGGAGATGGGGGTTTCACACCCTAAGTTCACTCTCTGGGATGGAGGCAGAGCCAGTGCTCATTGTGCGCTCACTGGTCAGTGCCACGTCGGCTTCCTCTTTGCAGTTGGCTGCACTTACCTGGGGGGCTCCTGCCAAGTGTGTCCTGCTTCCAGGTGGTCTGCAGCACGGCACTGATGTGAACACGTGGCGAAAACAGCGCTGAGTGAGAGGGGCCCTGACCTGGAGGCCCCTGTCCTGTCTGTCCTCGTCAGCGGGCTCTCTGGGTCCCTGAGTCGTGCTGGGCTCCTGCCAGTGGGAAGTCTGAGCAGGAGGCCTCTTCGGGGTAGGAAAGCGAGGTCGGGGTATTTGTTCTGCCTCTGTCCCTGCAAGGTCATCTCTGACCTGCTGCAAGACTAAGACAAAGGTCACACCTCTTCTACCACCTGCCCTTCTGGGCTCCAGCTCTCCTTCACCCCCTTAGGTTAGGGTGTCATTTCCTCACTGTTACCAGCAGTGTCCCTTGTCACTTGCATACCCAGTGTCCACCACCTGTAGAAAACCCCTGCACTTGACTCTCCCCCAAGTACCTCATTAGAGGGATTGTTCAATCCCAGCAATACCCACAGTGGGTTCCCTTTCAGACACACCCTGATCTTTATTGTTGTATTTGTAAAACATCCCCTCTGGTGCTGACACCAGAAACATTTCTCCCGAGAGCTGAACTCTCTGTCATTGTCCAAGCAGAAAACGTTGTGTTCATACCTGATGAGTGTGCTACTTCACCATCTTTACTAAATCACGTGAAGATGGAAGTCAACACCCTGAGGAATCCGATCCCCTGCCTGGGGGGACTTGCTAAGTCAGTGGTTGGGGTCCTGGGGTTCTGGGTGTAAAATGTCCTGATTTTGGGACCCCTTGTCCTCACCTGTGTTTTCTCTCTCACGGGACTGCAGTGTCGCTGTGGCATCTGAGAGAGCAGCCACCGAAAAAGCCACCTCTGACCTCATGAAGCCCCTTGCTGCCCTCTCGGGGCCCACTGCAGAAGAAGGGGGGCATGTGAAGTTGTGAGGGGGGTCAGCAGGGGTGGAGCACGGGTGACAGATGGGACAAGGGTCTCAGCCTGGGTGTTTCTTCATAAACACTTAATTGTTGCACAGTTTTGAGCAGAGGAGCTGAAACGGGAGGAGCTTGACCTGGGCCATGAGTGATGGGTGAACTACTGCACAGAGGGGCTCAGCCGGGAACTGCCAGGACAGTGGGTGTGAGTGAAGGCAGAGCCTGCCCTGGGAGAGGCGGAACTTTGGAAATCATTCCCCTGTGTCCCCCACTGTCTCACGTGAAAGGAGACCTGTTTCTTCCACCAAGGCTGGTGTCCCTTTGTCTCCCACACTAGGAGTGGTGAACCCACTGTGTTCTGTTACTCTGGGGAGGTCATGGGGAGGGACGTGTCCTCCGGTTGACCTCAAAGCTGGACCCAGCTCCCCATCCCCGCAAACCCCCAGCCTGTCCTTGTCCTCAGAATGTGTGTTCAGCTCACACTGTCATAACCCTGCTGCCTGCACTCCTCACCTGTCTTACTATACTCACTGTTGTTCTTCTAACACAGATGGATATGTCATACATTTTATAACTTACACATTTATATTCCTTATTTTTTATTTTCTGTCCCTTCGAGGAACACTGGAAGATCCAAACCAAGAATCTTTACCCGTGGTTATTTGCTGATATATCCAAGTCCCTAGAATGGTATCTGGCACAAAATGTGCTGTCATACAAATTGAATGGAAAGCCAGTTTTGTTGGGTAGTTTGTTCTTGTTGGTTTAGAATTTGATTGTTGTATTTGCCTAAACTTCTCTTCTCAACCTTTGTCTGGTTATATGTTTTAGATTAAAATTACTTTTGCAATCCACTGAAAAATGTGTGTGTGTGTGTGTATGTGTGTGTGTGTGTGTGTTTAACTGAAACCTTTGGTTCATGTCTCATAATTATAATTTCCAATCTATTATGACACATATAAAATTTTTATTTCTTCCCTTTTACCTGTCCAACCTGTTCCATGATTCATTTTTATTTGCTCATGTTGAATTTTACTTATTTGGGATATTTTTTCACAGTCTGCACTTTTCTCTACTAGTTTGGAAGTTATACACACTTTTCCTCACTTTTTAGTACCTACCCAGTGAATATAACACATACTGCTAACAGATCAAAGGCTGAAGTTAATCTATCCTTTTATCTTCCTCTTTTACAACAAATTACCTTGGACATTTTAATTCCATCCCACCCTCCATCCCAATCTAAATGTAACTCTGTATTTTGTTTAATTTTTTCCTTTTAGAATCTTGAGGCTGTTTCTATTATTTTGTACTGTTCCTGCCAGTTTAACTTAGTCTTTGTTTTCCCTTCTGAGTCACTGATGGGATTGCTTTCCACTCGTGTCCAGTACATTCTGTAGAAATCCCTCCAATGAGGTCGTGCTGGGGGCAGGAGCACTCCCCTTCCTTGTCTGAAATGCACGTGTGCTGCCCTGATTCCTGACAGCTGTCCCCTGAGTGTGGAGCTCAGCTGTCATCTTCTCTGAGCTCATTGCAGGTCTGCTGGCACTGTTTCTGGCTGCTCTGTTACTGGGCAGGGGTCAGTGCAGTTCCAGCATCTCCTCCTGGAAGGTCATGGGTCTGTGTTTCTGGTTCCTTTGAGGAATTCTCTTAGCTTTGATGTTCTACCACTTCGTTCTTATATGTCAAAGCATGAAATCCTTGTTCTTGATCCCCTTTGGGATTTGTTATGTCTTCCCTTCTGTTTTCTCTCTACAAGCATCTTTTTGCTGTTTACAGTGTGTTTTGGCCTTTTCCTTTCTAAGTCTTTCCTCCACTTACCCTTTACAAGTCACTGAGATTTGTGAGGTGTTAGCCCTTTTGAGTTTATGGTCAAAGCTCCCTGTGAGACCTGTGTTGAATGCACCCTTGTCTTTGGCTCCCATGTCTGTGGGGTTGGAGAAGCACAGCTGATGTTCTCCCAGTTGGTGAATATCCTCAGAGTGGCAGTGGGCTGCTGTTCTTTGCTTACAGGTCTGGGTTTCCCTTATTGCTGGGCTGTGTACATAGGCAAGTTCCTTTTTTCTGACAGTCCTTCCATCCTTCTAAGAAAATGTATGTAATGTTTTTCAATATTTGTAGTCAACTTCTCTGGGCCTTCTAATAACCTTGATACCAGGAAGGAAAGTTTAGTTTCTTTTTT